TCTCCTTCCCTCAATAATGTTTCGTGGGTTTGCTTGGGCATAAACGTCTTCAAAATCAATATTGATGGGGAAGAGGAAAAGAAATTCGCAACTGTTTTCACAATTATTATGACCGGGATGTAGCTTTCATGCCAAATCGTTGATTCTACCACTAAAAGTTAAGTTAAGCGTATCCAGTTTCTTTTGCCCTGGAGTCCCCGGCCCTCTAGCTAGACCTAGGGTCACGGTTGTCGTGTGGTCACGTCAGTGTAGCACGAAAGCGATAAAAAATGCTGTGAGTAGATCCTACACGCCTACATTGTCTTTGTAGGGCGGATCCATGGCAAAAGGCACTGCAATAAAAAACGACGCCGACCTGGATTGCGTGATGGTCATGAACAGCATTGACGACGCTTCACAGTTGAGAAGGAAACTACCCGCCATCAAGCGTAGGCTTGAGTCATGCTTGAGGGGCAGCATAGGGAGCTCGTGGAAATTGGCTTCTGAGCAGAAGGAAACGCGGTTCTCCTTGCAGTTTAGCATGTCACGTTACCCAGGGGAGACTGTTGACGTTGATCTTTTGCCAACATTTGAAGCGAACGTACGGGACATCGATGGTACGTACGTAACCGGAAGAGGCTCAAGGTTGAGTTACTCATAGAGTAGTTAGTGTACGGCTTCTTCAATGAGAGGCCCCCTTGAAGAAATTCCCAGTTAACTCAATGTTCATAACCATGATAACCAAACCTAACTTAACTCATCCGCAGCTGCTTTTTACCTTATAATTGTTCACCCGGTTTTCAATACGTCCGCAAGATGTTCAAAATCAGCTGAACATTTGTTTTGTTTTCCCTTTTTGGTCAAAATAACATGCGTTTCCAGTATAACAATCTCTTTTTTACACCTATTGTGATCTTGATCTGATTAATTATTTCATCTTCATCACTAATACTTCTTTCATATCATTCTGAATTCTTTTTCTTTCAAATTAATTTGAAGAAATTGTACCCCGAAATTTTTTCTGTCACTTGTATAACCCACGCCGCACTGTGCTCACTTCATTTCCTTTTCTTCTCAGTGTTTTCATGTTTTTTTTTTGGACAAAAGACTGGTCTTAACTTTGTTGCAACATCTTAAACAGTTCATTTAATTTTGTTTGCCATCAATATCTTCCATTAGTTTGCTAACAACAGGAGCGAAATTCATCTCATTAGTAATGGGCTTGCACACACTCAAATCCCTACGAGGGACAGTTGCTGAAATCAAATTCCCTGCATTTGTAGGCAGTAGTCCCCTCATCCCGACTATAGAGTTTAACATTTCATATGTAGGTGCAACAGATCTACATAACCATTGCTCGCATATTAAACGACTTAATTGGGTCGTTCGTCAACTGCTTTTCAGTGTAGCTACAAAGATGCATAATTTTGAGAAGTGATTCATCAGCGTTTAGTAAAAATAATTTTATATAAATGTTGAATCTATTCAATGTCTTAGAACGGGAGAGGTTTTACAGAAACATGCTTGGCGACACAACAAACTGGCAATATTATTCGGCTGCCCTTGTGTTGATTCAAAGGCACTTCGTCACGGAACGGCCTGCACTCGTAAAAGACCTGATTCGATTGGTGAAGTATTGGCGCAAGAAGTTCCTTCAAAAGAAAAGTGCTAAGCGCCTTCCGCCCTCTTATCTACTTGAGCTTCTCACAATACATGCCTGGGAAAATGCAAATCGTCCAGACAGATTTGACTTGAAGATTGGCTTTAAAGCTGTTATAGAAGCTCTAAAGAATCACCAACGTCTTCGTGTTTCTTGGGGAGATTACTACAGAGAGGATTTAATTCCAAGCAGGTACATTCATGGAGTTTTTAAAATTAATGTAACTAGGATAAAGGAGCCGCTTTTTACGTTCTCGAGGACATATTAGCTGGTATTCCCTTTTTACCTTATTTCAATCAGTCGGCCGAGTGCTTAGAGAGCTTGGACTTGCAACTCGGAGGCCCCGAGTTGAAGTCCTGCTCTGACCACTACCTGGATTTATTCACAGTAGTCCCGAGTTCAAATCCTCGACCATGTTTGTAAAATTTAATAGCCAGCTGGGATTCTTACCCCTGTTAAGATTGATTTAAATTATTTGTTTCACATATTTGCTCGGCCCCACTAGCGTTAATGTTATAAACACTGCCGAGGGTAAATAACGGAATTATTATTATCATTATTATTATTATGGTTGTTATTAGTTGTAAAATCTAATAGAATGTCTCTCCAGGCAAGAAATCGAAACACGCTAATTTTGAAAATATGGCAATTAAACGAATTTTCTTTTACTGGAGAATTTTATTTATGGCATATTTTCGTTTTTTGCTTTGCAGTCTTAAGCGTGGGCCATATATCATTGACCCAGCAAATCCAACCAAAAACCTGTACGACGACGTTAACTGTTGGCCTGAGGTGAAAAGGGTTGCCGAAGAAACCACGCAGAAACCCCTTCTCAGAAATGTGTGGGTTTCTGCTAACTGGAAATGAAGTCAGAAGAACAACGATTTTATTAGATTTTTTCCTCACAGGATAATAACTCAGTACTTTATAAAAGATGTTAAATCAAAGAGAAGACCAGTCTTGTCAGTCATTGGAGTTTCCCAAGTTTTATTTCCGCAATCTGTTATCAATAGGTTAACATGCTATCAATTTCAAAACCAAGACATTTCCATTCGGTTTTGTCTCGAGGCCTTTTTAATAGTTATTTTAAGAGGATTAGGGTATTGGGGTCTGTAGCATTCTTAGGTTATATTTAGCAACAACGCATGTATTGCGTCACCAACTATGTAACCGCGTGATATCTATTTAGTAGATTATTGTTAGCAGTTATAAGCTTTGCAATCTAATAAAGCTCTTAGTAAGATAACAAGTGTTCACGTTGTTTAGGAATCCGAGAACTCAGCAAAGTTGAAATTTCCCCTCTTTTGTGTATTTTCAAAAAAATGCAAGAAAATGGTGCTCGATGACATTTTGAGGCGGTGACAAGGCCACCTAGATCATTTACCAAATTTCGGATTTCAGCTGGCGGCCATCTTGTATTTTCCAAAGGGGTTCACCTATGATTTTGGGTCAAAATCTGAAATTTGCCACGTGTTTGTTTATGGTTACTGTGGACCAGGAAGTTTCAGAGTGGTGACAGGGTCATCAAAACCATTTACCAAGATTTCAAATTGGGCTTCTTCAGGAGGGTTATGGGCTTCTGGCTTCTTTTCATCATCGAGCCAAAAAGCTCTCAAGTAAAGTTTGAACAGTAACGGCCCGGGAATGGAGCAAGCAGTTCACAAAATTTGCTCATACTCAAGAATAAAAAATGCAATGACTTTAACATGAATTTGCCGTATTGCCACGCTTTGACAGAAGATGGCATGCATTTTGTCCTTGTCCTAAATAGGGTAAGTATTTTAGGAACTTTTTTGTACTAAGCAGACTCAGAGTTTCAAACCCTCAGCGGCTCACCTACTTATGTATATGTACCCAAATTATTGGTCGAGTATCCCTTCCCCAAGAGGGTTAAAAGCCGGGAGAAGGGCTCTCATTTAGTTACTTGATGATTTAAAACATAAGCTTAATCTTTAAAGTAGGATTTCCTCAAAATAACTTGCTAATGAGACCAACAATTTCTGGGAAACAGCCTTTAACTTAACGTGATGTAACAAGCATACCTCACAGGACATGTGCCGGATTTTTCCCTACTTCCGGAATCTGCCATGCCGCTTACGAGAGTTTTTATTCCATAAATAAAGTCAGCTATCAAAGTATACGTAGAAGAACCGATAGAGGTTAAATCCGTCTTCTCTAATTATGCCTCTAATTGTTGGGTCTAATTTGACTGCACAGGTGTTCCGTCTGATCAACCGCCATGTTGGTTTCTTTCTCCTGAGGGTACTTGTTTTGCGAGTACTTGGAAACTCCTCGGTGACTGTAGTGTCTTGTTTATGGAACTTCACGATTTATGGGTGAGATAAACAGTAAATCTTTCTTTTAACAGTGAAGATGAAACACATGACTTACGTACCGTACAAAAGGATCGAAGATCTGGGAACGAGGGAACGAGAATGCCCTGGTAACGAGAATACCTTTGTGGGCGCATGCGCAGGAATCAAATCACGAATTTATTTTTTTGGACGCAAGAATTAGGCATCAATGATATAACTGACCATAACTCACAGTAGATTTTACTTTGTAATTTCAGATGGCAAGTCTATGAATTGTTTACCACATTTCTTGAAATAGAAATTTTGATGTCATGTACTGTTAGAAGGGGAATTGAGACACGTAAAGTGCCCGTCGAGTAACGTGTCAAAAAGAGCACAACGCATAAATTAACACCCTCTTATTGACATATAATTTCTGACTAAAACAGGAAAGAAAACCCGTTAGGGAAGATGGGAGCACCCCTAATCATAAAGTCAAATTTAAAATACAACGGTTGCTAACTCAAGTAAATAGTATAATTTTTTAGTTTAATAGTACTCCGAAACTAGGAATTTTTCACCCATGGCGTTATTGTAGGAGCAGCAGACAAGATCTGAGTTATACCAGACAAAGCGCTCATACTGGTGGACAAAACAACAATATTTTTCGCAAAATTTGCATAAAGAGAGTGTTTAGTTTCCAACAGAAGGGAACGCTTTTGTTTTTGGCCACCAGCATGGCGGAAGTGACGTCAGCTTAAAACCAGCAACAACTCTTTTTTAAAATACAACGGTGGGTTATTTCAAGTATTTAGTACTTTTAGACAAATTTACCCTCTATTAGTACTCGCCAAAAACTGCCATTTTTTTCTGTCATGATCAGATGTTTACAATTTCGTGAGCTATATTCGATATGACCATCGTATGACGAAGTCGCGCGGGGATTTCCCTCCTGCGCATGGACGCGTGAAATACAAACGAAACTGAAACCGGAAAAGTTAAGTTTTTGTTTTACTCGAGAAGCTTCATTCTCAGGCAGAAAGCTAGTCATGGATAACCGATTCGCCATGAAACCTTTTCTGTGTACAATTTGCGGCAAGCGGCGGTTTGCCACAGATTATGGCCGAGCTGAACATCAAAGAGCCCTACATGGTATTAGAGGTATCTATTTTGTACCCATAAGTGCATAAACAAAGGTGTTTGAGCGACGGGCGCTAATCGGAAGAGGACCTTTCGCATTCTTGGGCAGTGGTTTTGCCCGTGTCTTGGGGAAATTGTCTCTATAAGAGTAAAGACATTGTGCAATTATTACTACAAATACAGTAGCGTCAAGGCAGATTTAGGGGGAAAAAGCATCACTTCCGGTAAGAGTCTGTCGCTCGAAAGAAAAGTTGCGTATTTTGCATAACTCAGTCAGTCTCTACTCTGGGATACTACCTTGGTAATTTTTGAATTAGTTAAAAAGGTTTTGTATCAGTCGGAAAACCTCAAATCCCTCTGGATTAAAATAGAACCGAAAGCAATTTCAATTCGGCTTGCCCCCAAAAATGACGTAATTGTTTGGTTGCCAATTTGATCAGGGAGGGAAGAGGAAGTCGATCATTTAACGAAAAGGGGGGAGGGGTGGATGAAACTAGGCTTTAATAGACTGTGCTGGCATACGTTTTGGCATAATTCGTCATTACGAGCATAATTTTCATGCATTTCCAAAAAAAAAAAGCACTGAAAGCATAATTTGCACTTTGGGCTGGTTTTGAGGCACAAAATTGTCATTTATTGATCATGCGACCAATTTCCTGTCTGCTTACTAGCTACGGCCTTCTTGTATGCTCTTAAAAGTTCTTGTCAAGGCGAGATGTTGGGCAGATAATCAAGAAAATTCATGACGCATAAGGCAGTACTGTTACAACCCAAACATTTGGCTGAATAATAGTGAATTATATTGTTTGTCAACTTTCAGGAGAAAAGTCAATCCCTTGTTCATATCTATTTTGTACCCGTAAATTTCGACACGAGTTTGACCTAACGCAACATCTGGAGAATCCTGGCAAGTGGCATGACAAAAAAGGTAATACAGTCGAAGCTCTCCTTGCGACCGCGCTCGTAAGCGACCAGCTCTAGTTACGACCACTTTACCAATGTAGTCGCTTACGAGAGAACACTTAATGACTGGTCCCGAGGGAAACAGTTAATTTTGTTTCCCGAGAATCTCAATGTGTCCCGAGGCGGAGGCGAAGGAAACATTGAGATTCGAGAGAAACAAAATTAAATGTTTCCCGAGGGACCAGTCTTTAAGTGATTTGTTATGTAGCCCACGAAGAAAAACGTTTCATGTACAAATTTATGAAAATAAACCTTGCGAGAGGTGAACATTCGTGGGTAACGGTGCAGCGTTAACTGTTACCCTCTGACGTCACAGATTTTGCAATGTTGCCCGCTCAGAGATTTTGGGAAGACCTTGGATAACAACGGCCTCAACCAGGTTGTGGCGTCCAGCTGTTTTAGTGAAAACAAGGGTTTGGGTCATTGGGGTGCTCAGTCTCGCGGGCTCATAAAACCTGGTCTCTGTCGTTCTTATTGAAGGATTTTCGAGATTTTAGCGAGAAGCAGTTTCATTGTTAGATGTCATGTGACCTCAAAGTAACCAATGAGAGAGCGTGTTGATGGGAAAAAATTTCCAGCAATATAACATTAGTAAAATCCAACTAGTGGTATATTATCAGTGCTGCGTTCTGATTGGTTGAGCTGCTACTAGTCTAAATGTTATAGCCCACTAGTAGCGACAAGCGCCGGCTTTGAGAACCAAACCAACGGTGGCTGAATGGCGTTTTGCTAGCTAAAGTTGTTTTGTCTCAATATTTTTGATCAACTAGTTGGATTTTCCTAATTAACAATCATTCCTCTCGCCTTCATGGCCTCTGAGTCAGTAGCCTATTCGGCCTTCGGCATCATGGACTATTGACTCAGAGCCCTTTCGGGCTCGAGGAATAATTGTTAAATAGCCAGAGACCGCGCAGGGGGTGGGGCTGGGGGGCTTTAGCCCCCCCACTTTTTTGGCTGTTGATGTTAGAACATTGAATGTTCAACTGGAAATATTTAAGGTGTTGATGAAGGACGGAGAATTTACCTGTTTTGATCACATTTTAGCCAAGATCAAGCAGCTTTCTGAAGCCGAAAAGTGTATGATAACTGAAATCATAACCCTATGTAAACTTCTTCTTGTAAATCCAGCAACCAGTGCAGCAGGCGAGAGATCCTTTTCTTCTGCTCGGAGACTGAAAACGTGTCTACGCTCGACGATAACACAAACAAGATTTAGCAATCTGACAGTACTTAATACCCACAAGGAGAGAACAGACAAACTTTGTCTTTTAGATGTTGCCAATGAGTTTGCAGCTCTCAATGAAAATCGAAAAAGNCCCCCCCCCCCCCCCCCCCACTTGAAAATCCGCTCCGTGGACCCTGATAGCAATTGTAAAACTTCAACATACACTGTTGATAGGTGTGTTTATACTCAAGTCCTTATGGTACGGCATGATGGGTCAATGAGTCATTTAAATTAAAAGAATCCCTAAATGCCCACCATTTTCGAGTCAGTGTTTGATCCTTTCACTATTTCAATGTTCAATGCTGATTTAACTCAAAACTTGACTCATGAATCTTTGACTCGTTTGACTCCAGTAGTCCTCATAAAACAAGCTTTCTTAGGGCATGAAGGGAAACTGAAAGAAGACTGGACTGTACGTTCGCATCATTGGGGAGTGATTATTCCCAAACCTTCCTAGTTTCACGTTGTTCCAGAAAAGGTTTCAAGTAAACATTGAATGAAGTAAATTGGGTGGGGGAAGACTGGTGCTCAATGGGGATAAGCTGTTTCACAAAAATTCTTGTGCAAAACATTGAAATACGGAACCATGCGAAATAAAAATACTAGATCACATCATTTGGTGCTGAAGTTGTAGTTTGAGCCTCCTGTCATGGGCTGTTTGCAAGTTACGGCCTACCCTGCATTCTTGTCTGTCAAGGTGAGATATTGTGCCGAAGAACCAGAAAATTTACGATCAATAAGGCCTTCCAGTTGCCTCATAAAAACTATACTGTGCCAATGACTAAATTTTACTTATTAAATTTGTTTTCGAGTATCAGGAGTTACCACGGAAACCCCGAGTATCAGATGTATGCGGCCACACGTAAATGACCTCAGAGGGAATAGCAGCTCCTACCTCCCTCCCACGGTCCTATTTGTTCCTCCCAGGAGAGAGGAAGAGAAGGCAATCTTTGAACGAGCTTGTTCCAGCCTAGAAGTGAATAAATTCATATGTGATAAGCTGCAGCCAGATGAAATATTTCATCGCCCGATTAATGATGCTATTGATTCCTTGTACCGAGAACTTCAGAGAGACTTGCAGTATACCAACTATGGAATTTATAACCTGATTAAGGTTAGTGGTGAAACAGCCCCCGCCCCCACATCCAACCCCCCAACCCCCACAACCGAAAAGGATTGGGGGTTGGTTTAGAAAGACGCTGAGGCAATAGAATCGTAGATGTCGTTTATTTCCAACAATACCCCTAGAAGACACTGGATGCTGCCTCCTCAGCCTCACGCGTTTCGTTTTCTTCTTTCTTCTAAAGTAGGACTAACTAAAGTCGAGATGTTGCTAATATATATAGCTCGAGAGTGATTAAAATAAAAAATCGGCTATGAATAGATTCTACATGTCGCCTTGTCTTTGTAGGGTGGATCCATTGCAAAAGGCACTGCAGTAAAAAGCAACGCTGACCTGGATTGCGTGATGGTCATGAACGGTATTGAAAACGCTTCCCAGTTGAGCAGCAAACTACCCGACATCTTGCGTATGCTACAGTCACGCTTGGGGAGTAGCATGCGGGACTCATGGAGATTGACTTCCATAAAGGAAACGCATTTCTCCTTGCAGTTTAACATGTCACGTTATTTCAACCCTGGGGAGTCTTTTGAGGTTGATCTCTTACCAACATTTGAAGCAAGCGTAGAAGGCATCAATGGTACGTACGGAACCTTGCGTACCCGTTAGTTGCGTTACTCACAGTTTCTCTGTTACTAATTCTTGCAACCTTGTTTCGATTTTTTATTTGTCTCATTTTTTTAGAACGAGAAAGGTTTTACAGAAAAATGCTTGAGGACAAAACGAACTGGCCATACTACTCGGCTGCTCTTGTTAAGATACAAAGAGACTTCGTCAGAGAGCGGCCTGCAAGCGTAAAGGACCTGATTCGATTGGTGAAGTACTGGCGCAAGACGTTCATTCCACAGAGTGGTAGTAAGCACCTCCCGCCCTCGTATTTACTGGAACTTCTCACGATACACGCCTGGGAAAATGTAAATCGTCCAGAGCGCTTTGACATGAAGATTGGTTTTAAAGCTGTTATGGAGGTTCTAAAGAATCACCGAAATGTTCGTGTTTCTTGGGAAGATTACTACAGAAGGAATTTGATTCCAAGCAGGTACATTCATGGAGAGGAAATAGGAATAAGAGGGCTGCTTTTTACGTTCTCAACTACATAGGTTCGGATGTCCACAAACCGGCCTAAAATTTCAAGAAACGTTCCTTTACCCTCCCCTCCCTCTGACGTATTGGGTCCTTTTTCCCATAATCCTTTTACTTTATTTCAGTTGAAAAATCAGCAAGAAATGGCTCTCGTGGCAAGTCATTCGCAACACGCTGTATAGCAATTGCACAAATTTTCTTTTACAATCGAATTTTATTCATGGTGTATTTTCTTTTTTTGGAATTTCAGTCTTCTGTATGGGCCATATGTAATTGATCCCGCCAACCCAACCAACAACCTTTACGACCGTGTTGACTGCTGGGATGAGGTGAAAAAGGTTGCAGAAGAAACCATGCGGAAACCCCTTCTCAGAGATGTGTGGGTTACAGCTAACTGGAGATGAAGAACCACGATTTTATTAGATTTATTTGTAATATGTAGAGTCCCTAAAGGGATTAGGGTATAATTTTGAGTGTGTAGTGTTTAGCAGCCAAGCGTGTCATCGATAGCGTCATCAACTATGTAACCGCGTGATATCTATTTCTTAAACTGTTGTAAGTAGTCACCCTGTATTAGTTTTGCAGTTCATTAAAGCTTTTAGTAAGATAACAAGTCTCCACGTTCTTTAGGAACCCAAGCACTCAACAGAGTCAACATCTGAAATTTCCTCTATTTTGTGTATTGTCAAAACAATCGTTTATCGAATTTCTGATTTCTGCTACCGGCCATCTTGAACTGAAATTTGTTTCAGAGTGATGAGAAGGTCACCCAAACCATTTACCAAGTTTTCAATTTGGGCTTCTTTTCATCTTCATCACCTACAATCGAAAAAGTATGTTATGGCTCATAATTCCCTCGCCTCAAATTCATAAATAGCCATGATCATAAAAATCAGTTTCTCGCAGTGATTTATTCAGGACATGTGTGAATCAACAGTTGCAATATTATAAAAACAATCATCGCAATTCAGTATTGTGTAACTCGTTACATTTTAATCCCATATTTCTTCTGAGGAGGTCCATGTTTACTTCGGGTGTACAGAGTCAACGACTAAAAAGAGTTAAATAAAAGTATGTACATATTGTTTGAATCATACAGTCGACTTAACCTCGTTTTCTTAAATACAAGGCGAGTGTGCAACCTTGTTCCCAGGGTCCACTCCTACTTTTCCTCCGGGAGGATGAGCAGGAGAGGAATCTGGGAACGGGGTTGGACAAGTGTGTAGGGATGTGTAAGTGAAATCATCACGCTTGAAGCCTGAATCACGCCCAACGCTTCTTCATTTCACCTGAGAAAAATTGAAAAGATAATATAATAAGTATATATTGACAAATAAAATAATACAGAAAAACAAAGAACTCACCCGGCAAACCGCTTGTGTTCGCGAAGTAAGGGCACCCAACGACCGAATGTTTCCAAATACGCCAGAAGTGTCTCAGATGGTTTTCTCTATGCTTTAGAAGCCTGTTTGGTTAATCTGGAGTTGCACTAAAAACTACTTATCTGTTCGGATGTCTAAGGGGAACTTTGGTCGTCACGAAAGTTTAAGGTAGCTTTCTCGTCTCATCCGAAAGTGTTAGCTATCCTTATAGGTCAGGTCGAAAGTTCGAGGGCATGAAGTAGCCTTGCATTCATTAGAAAATTATATGTCTTTATACCGAAAGTTCTAGGGGACCTTTTTTTTTACAATAATCGCAATATCTTGGTATGAAAATGTCAATAACACAACCTGCGAAAATCGTAGTTAAGCTATTGGAAAACCTCCGCATTTTTAGACGATTGGAACGGTTATCTAGGAATTTTTAGCTTTTCTCAAGCTTTGGAAATTTCTAGGCAATATTTGCTCCTTCGAACAGTTACTTTACAGAAAAAAGTCGCGGAGTTGTTTTGTCACAATAGTTTTGACCAACTAGTTGATTTTACTGAAACAATCATTCCTCTGGCCCTCATGGCCTCTGAGTCAATAGCCCATCAGGCCTCGAGGAATAATTGTTAAACATACCGTCAAGTTCCGAAAATAACGACCCCTCGAAAGTAGCGAAACTCCGGAAGTAGCAATAAAATGTCACAGGTGTTCATAACAAATCCCGAAAGTAGCGTTCTCCCTGAAAATAACAACCCTCCGAACCTAGAGACCTCAAAACTAATTTCCCTTTTTGAAATAAATAACAGATGTGATAGATTCCTTATCATGAACAAATGCCCTGACTGATCCGAGGTTTACTAATAATGATTATTTGACATTCCTATTTATAACTCTTAAAGTACAGGATAACATTACCTTTTTAAAAAAGTATTCCTTTCACATTTTTTGGAGTACACGTTTTAGCCATCCGAAAGTAACGACCCCCTGAAACTAGAGGGCCTCCGAAAGTAGCAATAACGGAAGGACGCCAAATTCGAAAGTAACAAAGGCCGTTACTTTCGAAACTTTACGGTAACTGACCATAACTCATAACCCACTGAAACTAGCGAGCCTCCGAAAGTAGCAATAGCGGAAGGATACCAAGTTCGAAAGTAACGAAGGCCGTTACTTTCGAAACTTTAGGGTAACTGACCATAACTCATAGTAGATTTTACTTTGTAATTTCAGATGTCCATGAGTTGTTTACCACAGTGACTATCGCATGATGAGGCACATATTGCTGGTTTTCAGCTACCAGAAAACGCGGCCATACTGCTGGAAAAAACAATATTTTTTTGCAAAATTTGCATGAGAGAGTGTTAAGTTTCCAACCAAGGTGAAAGCTTTTGTTCTTGTCCCGTCAGCTTCCAGCAAAAATAAACTCCAATTTAAAATACAACAGTGGGTTATTTTGTCGTTTTTAGTACAGTTATTAACCTCTATCAGTATTCGTCAAAAACTGGCATTTTTTCAGCCAGGATAACTTCGTGAGCTATACTCAGTATAACCATTGTTAACTACGTCGGGAATTTCCCTCTTTCAGGCCACTTTAAGCGCACGCACGTGTGAAATACAAATAAAACGAACCAGGAAAGTTTAGCTTCGCAGAAGGCTCAGTGGCTTTTACTCGAGAAGCGTCGTTCTCAAGTTATCAATGAGCAGTGAGCTATATATGGATTCACTGTTAAAATCTTTTCAGTGTTCATTTTGCTCGAAGCAGTTTACCACCGATAATGGAAATGATGATCATCAAAGAGCCGTACATAGTGTTAAGTATTCGCAGTCGAAACCTTTTACGTGTACGGTTTGCCCGAAGCGGTTTACCACAGATAAAGACCTAAAGCATCATATGAAAAACGCAAGCAAGAGGCATAAGAAAATGACAGGTAATAACCATCCATCATAAAACTTTTACATGTACTGTCAATAAGAATCTAATGCAACTGTTTATACCCATGTTTCAGGTGATATATCTTGTTCATATCCTTTTTGTCAACGTAAATTTCAATCTCAAGACGAGTTTGCCTCCAGCACCCTAAAGCATCATTTGCAAAACCCAGGCGATTGGCATGAGAGAAAAGGTAATATTAGCAATAATAAAACTTTTACATAAACGTTTATTTCGATTCCTAATGGTACGGCATGATGGGTCAATGAGTCTTTTAAATCTCTAAATGCTAACCATTATCGAGTCAGTGTTTAACCCTGCCTAATAACTATAGACACTCTGTATGGGTATTTAAGACGAAATCGCCGAAGTGATGGAAAACGCGCGACGAAAACGACCTCCGCAGGTAGCCAAACAGAGGCTAACTATTCAATGCTGATCTAGCCTGCATGAGAAGCGCTTTATGAGCCACGCGAGGCCAACGCGGCCTTTGTGGTGAAGCGCGGGAGGAGGGAAGGAAATATGAAGCACTTATTAATTATTTTTTCGCCTTCTTTCGTCTCGCGCTTCGCTCAACGTTCGCCTCGCATGGCTAATAAAGCGCATGTTATGCAGGCTAATGCTGATCTGACTCATGACTTGACTCATAATTTATAGACTCATTTGACTCATAAAACAATAAAACGGCACGAAGGGAAACCGAAAACTACTTTTGAGTGAAGGACGCCAACCGGAAGTGGACCTTTTTTTGTCATGTTTTTGTGGACTTTACGGTGCACAACGTTCAATAGCATCATCATTTTGATCTTATTGACCAATAAAAACGTCGCATTCATTATTACGTCACTATTTGTGAACGGTAAACAAAGGATTGTGCACCAGGAGCCTCCAACATAAACTGCAGCACCGCTTTGCTCTTATTTTTGAAGATTGGCGGCTCTCATGACCAGTCTCCCCTACTAACTATGGGTAAGTTGTATACAATAAGCGATACAGATGTTGTAGCATCGATGAATACTACAGTCGCTTATGGGAGGCGGTCGTTTACGAGAGTCGGACCGCAGGGGCGAAATTCTTAAGTCAAGACAACCTAAAATTCTTAAAAAATAATGAAAGTTTACTTTCCTCTGCCAATTACTGGTAGTTTGATCGACAAAATCATTGGCTATTCTATGTGACGGTTCATTTACGGAAGTGCACTTAGTTAGATAACGCGCGTTTTAAATTTGTGGTTAAAAAATTTTACCTGTGTACGTGACTTCTTGTACAGAAATGTCTTTAAGGACGGTGCCCACTAATGGGAAGTATTTTTTAGTATTTTTACCTCCTAGACTTACAGGAGACAAACCCAGTCCGCGTGTCCTGCGTGTTGCGCAATTCTTTCGCGTCGCGCGCGACTACCTAGGCATGCGCAGAAAATGTGCGCAGTAACAATAGTGGGCACCGTTCTTAAAACGTCTGACGAACAAAAACTTAACTTCTTAAACTGAAACCTTGAAATCTGAGTCTTTTTCAAGGGTAATAGTTAATATTGTAGTTATAGTTCAAACTAATAGACAGTAATAGATATGTACACAACAACGAAAGCCAAAGAATATATTCCTTGTTGTCAATTTTTACAATGTACTTCACGGTTTAGTAAGACAATGTGTCAAGTGGTCACTTACCAGAAGTTGAAAACAATAAAATATTCTAAAACTGTCAGCCGAAAAAGCGGTCGCAGTCGCTTACAGAAGGTGGCGTTTACGAGAGGTTCCAGTATAAGGCTTTGACTGAGAACATTTTTGGTGTTTTGGTAAGGTGGTCGCACGTGGAGGTTCCACTCTACTTCGTGGATGATGCAAATCAATCTCAAGAAAACTAAGATTACGGTCTTTCAGAAACGTGCCAAGAAAAATGCCGAACTTCGCTTTCTCATAGATGGTAAAATTATAGGTGTTGTACAAGAATACACTTATTTAGGAACTCGAATCTCCTCATCAGGAGTCACGTGACTCAGTGTCACGTGAGCATCTCAAAGAAAAAGCTCTTCACGCCCTATTTAGCTGGGGACGACATAGGAGTCTCAGCAAACTAAAAACATCTCTTGCTTGTACAATATTTGACACGA